ATGATCGGCCCCCCCAAAATGTTTAAATAAAAAACCCACAACAACAACAAACATAAAAAACTCAACAAGTGTGTGTTTATGTTTCGATATGGTATTGGAGACTCTTTCTCTCTCATTCTTTTATATAAAAGCTACCAGATCTTAAGAAAATTGCTCATCACATGATCCTTTCTATAGAAAAATTCATAAGAATCTGAGAATCATTCCCCAAAAATAAGTCATCTCTACGAAAACGATCCGAATGATCTGTTATATTGGAAAATGCCATCAGTACCAGATCTGTCTTTTCATTAGGAAAAGTCATTAAAATCTTTTTTACGGCGATTAGAATCTGATGATATTTTCATTAGGAAAAAGTCAACAGAATCAAATGATCTCTTAATATTTATTCTAATGATTTTTTCATAAGAAAACTATAGGAAATCTGACGATCTCTTCACTAAAACATACTAGAATCTGATGATCTTTTTTGCTCTGGGAAAATTCACCAGAATCTGCTTATATGTTCTCTAGAAGTCAATGATAATCTTTTTTCTAGGAAAAGTTACCGAAAACTGATGATCCTTTCTCTAGGAAATGTCATCGGAATCTGACTATCTTTTCTGTTAAAAAGTCATTAGAATGGGATGATCTTTTCGCTATAAGATGTCATCAGATGCTGATGATTTTTTCGCTATGAAAAGTCATCAGATGCTGTTGATATTTTCCATAGGAAACTGATGATAGTTTCTTTAGAAAAAGTCATCAGAATCTGAAGATCTTATCTATAGGAAAAGAAATCCGAATCTAATGATCTTTTCAATAGGAAAACTCTTCAGAATCTGATGATAATTTCCGTAGGAAAACTCTTCAGAATCTGATGATCATTTCCGTAGGAAAGCTCTTCAGAATCTGATGATCATTTCCATAAGAAAACTCTTCAGAGTCAAATGATCATTTCGATAGGAAAACTTATCAGAATCTGATGATCTTTTTCATAAAAAAGTTTATCAGAGTCTGATGATCTTTTCCATAGGAAAGCTTATCAGAGTTTGATGACATTTTTGAAAATACATTTTTACCATAGGCAAACTCATCAGACCCTAATGATCTTTTTCATACTCATTAGAGTCTGATGATGTTATCTTTAGAATCTGATGATCATCTTTAGAATCTGATGATCATTTCCATAGGAAAACACATCTAAGTCTAATGATATTTTCCATAAGAAAACTCATCATAGTCTGATGATACTTTCCATAGGAGAACTCATCAAAGTCTGATGACCTCCTCCACAGGAAAATTCATGAGAGTCTGATGATATTTTCGTAGAAATACTCATTAGAGTCTGATGATCTTCTTCATAGGAAAACTCTTTAGAATTTGATGATCATTTCCATAGAAAACCCTTCAGAGTCTGATAATGTTTTGTTTAGGAAATCTCATCAGAATCCATAGGAGAACTTATTAAAGTCTGATGATCTTTTCCAAAGATCAATTCCATAGGCAAGCTCTTCAGAGTCTGATGATGTTTTCTATAGGAAAACTCATCAGATATTATCCATATCATAGATATTATCATCCTAGTCTGTAAATCTATTCCTAAGAAAAACTATTTAAGAGTCTGATGATCACTTCCATTGGAGAACTCATCAGAGTCTAATGATCCATTTCATAGGAAAACTCATCAGAATTTGATGATCTTTTCCGCAGAACAACTCTTTAGAGTCTAATGATCTTTTCCATAGTAGAACATATCAAAGTCTAATGATCTTCTCCGTAGGAAACCTCAACAGAGTATATGATATTATCAATGGAATACTCTTTCGAGTCTGATGATCACTTCCATAAGAAAACTCTTCAGAGTCTAATGATCACTTCCATAAGAAAACTCATCAGAGTCTGAAACTCTTAAGAAGCTGATGATAACTTCAGTGGGAAATCTAATCAGAGTCTGACGACCTTTTCCAATCAGAATCTGTTGAGCTTTTCTTTAGGAAAAGTCATCAAAATCTGATGGTATTTTCCAAAGGAAAACTCTTTAGAGTCTGATGATCTTTTCCAAAGATCAATTCCATAGGAAGGCTCTTCAGAGGTAACCCATCAGATAATATCCATAGGAATACTCATCCGAGTCTATTGATCTTCTCCTAAGAAAATCTCTTTAGAGTCTCATGATCTCTTCCATGGGAAAACTCATCAAAGTCAAATGATCTTTTCCTTCCCCTGTGATAGGTTTTCTTTCTACCAGCAATCTGGCAACTCAATTGAAATTACAAAACCCCCTGTTATTGTTTGCATATTTTGTTTATGCCAAATGAATGACACTCTATTTTCTTTTACCGGTCTCCATTTATCATTAATTCTCATAATCTAAGAGAGTATCTCACTCCATTTCATAAAAAATTAAAGAGTCTCTTTAAAACTCTTTAAAAATATATTATTATCATAAGGTTGCGTGTATGCACTTAATGCATAAATGCTTTGGCTCAAACATGTTTGGTTATTTGGGTTGTTGTAACCAAAAGAAAACACACAAATAAATTATACAACTAAATATAATAAAATGTACTAAAGAAAATTTGTAAAGTTAACGATACCAAAAAGAACAATCGAGAAAAAATATAATGTAAATATTTGCAGGAAATTTTTTTTTTATAAAAGCCAACAAGGTCAACTGCAATGAACAAATGTTTAAAAGTGAGTCGGTAAAATTTTTAACAGATACTATATAATTTGCATTGATTATAATGTATTGGATAATATTGTTTTTCAATTTTACAAGTAGTCTAATTAATAGTTTTAACGAAGTACATTTTAATTACAACATTAAGGTGTGTAGCAAGATTTTATAAAGAAAAAACATAGTTCACACCCTAATGGAGTTTTTTATAAAGAAAATGATCATGATATTCTTATGTATTTCTCTATGAAAAAGATCATCAAATACTAGAGAGTTTTTATATGGAAAAGATCTTGTAAATCATCCTATGAAAAAGATCATCAAATTCTCTGGAAAAAATTTTCGTACTCTGACGACGAAAAGATCATCTAGGATGAGTTTTCCTATGAATCATTAGTCTCTGATGATCAGTTTCTCACAAAGACAAGAAATCAATAGTTTTCTAGAAAAAGATTATCAGTTTCTGATGAAAAATATCATGAGTCATGAGTGGAAAAGATCATGAGTTTCTCATGAAAAGCCCGTGACAAAGAAATGACCAGTATTCGATGAAATAATCATCAGACTTTATTGATGAGTGATGGAAAGTATCATCAGAATGTGATGAGATATATGTTATGGAAAAGATCATTAATCTATGATCAATCTAAGTTTTCCTATAGAAATGGTCATCACTTAGTCTCTGATGAGTTTTTCCTATGAAAAAGATCATCAGTTTTTCATGAAACGAAAAAAAAAATCAACAGTTTTTGATGAAAATGATCATCAGTCTCTGTAGTTTTCCTATGAAAAAGATCATCAGTTTCTGATGGAAATTATCATGAGTCATGAGTGGAAGAGATCATGAGTTTCTCATGAAAAGCCCCTGACAAAGAAATGATCAGTATTCGATGGAATGATCATCAGACTTGACTTGTTGATGAGTGATGGAAAGTATCATCAGATTGAGATGAGATATCTTATGGAAATGATCATCTGTCTGCTCTTCTACGGAAAAGAAATTCTGTTTCTTATGAACAACTCTTTAGACTCTGATGTAAAGGTGATCAGAATCAGATGACTTTAATAGAGAAAAGATCATCAAATTTTCATAACTTTTTCTCTTTTCAAAGAAAAAAGATGATCAGATGCTGGTGACTTTTTCCAGGAAAACTTTTCCCATTAAATTTTCGCAAAAAAAAATCAGCAGATTCTTGGTTGTGATGACTTTTTGCAGAGAAATGTTTTCGTAGAGAAACAATCATCCAATTTTGATGGCTTATGATCACAGTATTCCGATGACTTTTCATATACAAATGATTATCCGATTTTTATGACTTTTCGTAGAGAAATTTTCATCCGATTTAGATGACTTTTCTCAGAAATAAGATCATTCGACTATGATGACTTTTCTTAGAGAAAATATCATCCGATTCTGATGACTTTTCTTAGAGATATGATCATCTGATTTGGATGACTTTTTCTAGAGAAAAGATCAACAAATTTGATGTATTTTCGTCAAGAAAAGATCATCAGATTCTGATGTCTTTTTGCAGAGATTTGAAGATCGTCCGATTTTGATGACTTTTCTCAGAAAAAGGATCATTCGACTGTGATGACTTTTCTTAGAGAAAAGATCATCCGATTCTGACGACTAGATATCATCTAATTTTGATGACTTGTATAGAGAAAAGATCATCCGATTTCGATGCCTATTCGTAAATAATTGATCATAAGATTCTTATGACTTTCTCATCAAGAAATGATCATTAGATTCGGATGATTTTTCGTAGAGGAATGATGACTTTTCCTAGATAAAAGATCATCAATTGCGTTTACTTTTCGCAGAGAACAACTGATCATAAGATTTTGATAAGTTTTTCTATAATTTATTTTAAATTTAGAAATTTTTATGAAAATTTTTAATTTTTTATGAAAATTTTAGTTTTTATGAAAAATTTTAATTTTTATTTAAAATTTTATTTTTGATCAAAAATTTGATTTTTATTAAAAAAATTAGAAAATTAGATTTTTATGAAAAATTATTTTTAAATTTTTTTTTATAATTTCTTTTATAAAAATTATTTTTTTCATAATTTTTTTTAAATATTTTTTTATAAAAATTGCTTTTTATCAAAAATTGTATTTTATCAGAAATTAGATAAATTTGTTTATATTTTTTTTTCCACAAATCACACATTTCTTTTAAAATTTATGATTTTATCAAAATTTTTAAATAAATTCACAGAAAAGATCAACATTTTTTAGAGTTTTTTTTAAGTTTTCTACAAAAAATCCACTTAAAAACTTTATGGTTCAAAATTTTTATATTGATATTTTTTTTATTTTTAACACCAACCCGAAAATCCTTAGCAAATCGCGATAAAAACGAAAAACCACCCTAGGAACCACCACAACGAGTAAAAGTAACCAGTAAACGAAACCGTTAAAAATAAAAGCGTTTTTAAAGCAACAGCTCCGAAGCACTGGTCGTATGACTCTGATTAGGGGCCACAAAGAAATTAACATTAAGCCCATAAAACGCAAATCACTACTATCAGCGGACAAACATTATCAATAAATAATACAATTTTATTAGAGGGTCATAATATTAAAGGAGATAGAGGCCAGGTGGGGAAATAACACTATAATAGCTAAGGCGTCAAAATGTGGTCTGAAAATAGCAGATAAAATAAGTCAATTCTGCTGCTAAACTTAAGTGCAAACCTTGTAAATTAAACCTAACTAAACCATCAGCTAAGTAACGCAAGCGTCTAACGTTAAGGTACACACTAGCGTTAACGTTTTAGTTAGTGGCAGCGTAATAGGTGCCAATTGCTTTAAATTAATTTGATAACAGATACTATTATATGACTAGTAAACGATTAGACCACCAATATGTCTATATTAGACAATTCAAGTAGCCACTTGAATTTAGCTGAAATAT